TTTAGCATATAATGGGCCCTTGAGGATCACCAGCTGCAGATGTTTTTGGGTCAAGAAAATAGATATATATAAGCCCAATAGTAGACCTTTTGAATTGACCGATCTTAAACCGCTTTCGAAAAACCTTTCCCACATATTTGGAGTTAATAGCTGTTAAACGAAATGAATCGACTCGTCTCTGCTTGTTTTGTTAGAGTTGAAATTAAGGGTTTTCATGTAATTTTTTTAGCTTTTAATATAACTCGGTTCGTTCGGGTTTGAGTTTGGCTTTGTCTTGTTTAGGACTCTACTTTAGGATATGTGCAATATATGTGGATGGCCCTTTATATTTTTCAATATATTTCTACTCTCCATCATATTCACATGATGCTTGACGTGGTCACGGGCCGCCCGGCCTGGACCCAGCTCTGTCAAATCCATTGACCATGGGTGCGAGCCTAGACTGGATTTTCGATGGGCCGTTTCAGGGTCATTATTTCTTGATCCTGGCCCGTCAGGCCGGGCCGATGACCCATTTTTTATTTTTTTTATATATTATTCTGTATTTTTTTTTAAAAAAAAATATCGACCCGGCCCCGGCCCAGTTAACCGGGTCATGGACCCGGCACGAGTGGATTTCACTCAAAGTGGATTTTTTTGGTTAACTAAAGTTAATTGAAAAAAAAAATTATATGATTAGTTGTTAATAAGATTTTAGATTTATATTAAATAATGTCTAAAATAAAATAACTAAAGTTGATTTGAGTAAAAATATGAGAGAGATGATATGGAGTGATGGTTAACTAAAATTATGTGAGTGGATGAATAGTGAATTAAAGTATATGTGATGTGTAAGAATGATTGGATGATATTATTTAATTATATTGATAATATTGAAGATATTAGAGTTGAATTAAAGTTGAATTAGTCTTTGAGTTAAAATTTTAAGTGAAAATTTTTGTATACAAAACATACTCTAATGGAATGTTTGATATAATATAATGAAATTTGATAAGAATGGAATGAGTTGAGGAATGTAATGATTATGAGAATGGAATGAAACAAGTTTTGTCATTGATGTGTTTGTTATGCAGAAAGAATAAGACCGGAATGAAATAACATTATCATCCTATATTATCATTTATCACTATTTATAGTTAAAAAACTTATATTTATATTAATGTTATTTTCTTATTTATGATAATACTAATATTATTTTATATTCTTAAGAAATACTATATTTTAATAAACATACGTTGTATTGTTAGACCCATCTTATATAATAAATAAGTAAATTATGTATTTTTGTACATATTAACTAATACAACTATATCATTACATAAACCCCTATAAAGAATATAGAGTCAAATATACTTTTTTTATAATACAATTCAATTTATGAGTAAATATTTAATATATATGATTATATAAAATAAATAAGATTTTTTTTTAATTATTTATAAATGCATTTTTTGTGAATTTTATTTTTATATAAAAATTTAATATATCTAATTAAAATATGGTTAATAAATATAATATTTTAATTTTTTTTTTTGAATTTTATTTTTTAAAATGAATTTATTTAATATAATTTAATCATGATAATATAGTATATACTATATATTTATTTGTTATTATTATTTGTTAATTTTATTTTTTGAAAATTGATTCTTAATCATATGAGAATGAGAAAACCATCAATTAGGTATGGAATGGCTAATCCCATATACATGAGTTTTGCAATTCCCAGGTCATTCTCTTCTAAAAAATATACCAATCATGGAAATATAAATGAATAAGAAATATACCAATAATGAATAGAAAAATGATCCTTCTATTCCCATGTCACTAGTGTGTAGCCCGTGCGATGCACGGGAACAATATTAAATTAACAATATTATAAATAGACCTTGAGTTTGAGTCAATGGCGGAAGTGAAAACTACTATTGATCGTATTTAAAAAGAGGAAGAAAAAAAATAATTATAAATAAAAGAGGAGGATAAACAATACTTCATAATTATAAATTAAAGATTCGGGGTCAAACAATGTAAAATGATTTTGTATAAGAGAATATAAAAAAATTTGATTACACACCATTTCAAAATTATCATTATACTTTTTTGTATGGTTAGCTTAGAATATTTGTAAAAATATTAGTAATTAGACCGATGAAAATTAACTTCTTAAAGTAGATAATGGATTTCTAGTAGTAATTATGAATTGGTTTCTATTTTATTTTATTTTTTCTTTTTAAAGATAATGATATTCTAGTACTAATTATGAATTGATTTCTATTTTATTTTATTTTTTAAATCTGTATAGATAAGAGATGAGATTTTTTAAACACCTAAGATCGTATGCAATGGGATTTTGTAACAGAAGAGATAAGCTCGTGTAGATTTATACTAAAAATAGGAAAAAGAAAAACAAATATTTGTTGTTAAAACGATAAACTAAGAAACAGGAAAAAGGGAAACAAATCTTTACACAATTAATGAGCGGATTTTTTTGCCTATTCAGATTTGTCCAACAATTACTATATATAGGATATATTTAATGATTTTGGCGGGAAAAAGTTTCTAAATTTGTAAAATGCTTATTCTTTTTATATAATGATAGATTCCGTATACTAATCACGCAGTAAGGAATAGAAAAACTGAAAAAGGGAATGGAAGCCGACATGGTACTCAAATGCAATGTTCATTTCTCAAACGCGCAATAACACAGAGCTATAAAAGTATTTAACCTTGAAGGAGCTTCCATTTCATTTCCAAGTTGCATCTCCTAAGGTGAAGCTTTCGTTTCATATTTGCGTTGATTCCCATTTGATAGGTACTCTTCATTGGAATAAAGAGTCCATTATTTTTATCATGTTCCTTAAAAAAAAAAAGATTGTTTTTTTACTATTAATTTCCCCTCAATTTTAATGCTTTTCATATGGGTTTCTTGTATTATAATTAGCTTCTTTGTGTTATTGTGTGAATGATTAGTTAATGAGGTTCTGGATTTCTTCGGACAAAGCGGCGGAATGTGTGTGTGCGAGTGTTGTTATTGTTTGAATAATTTGATTAGGAAATTCCGGTTTTTGTTTCAGATTGTGTTGATTAGGGTTGGAAAGGACGGATTTTCATGCTGTTGGGTTATTATTTTCCGATAATCATATATAGGTTTTGACGTATTTTCTTGCTTTGTCTTGTCCCTTTTTGCTGTTCCTTTGCAGAATCTGGTCTTTCCTTGGTTGATCAATTGAATCCATGGTGAGCTCAAATTTAACATGTGTGTGTGTGTGTTTCGCCTTTCTCTTTCGAAGTCTGAAACAGAAAAGAAACTGAATAAAATGTGTAATTTAGTATATGCTCTAATTGTATTGCTCTTTTTTTTTTTTTTGGATTTTTTG